CCCATGGTGCCCAAGGACTATTTCGAAAATTACCGATTCAATTATCTTCCTGACAGCCCGATCACGATCCGTGAACGCCGGAGCGCCTTGCGGGAAGAAAAATTATTGTTGGCGAGATTGTCAAAGGCCAAAAGATACTTGGGGGCCCCGTAAGACTCGCCTTTGAACTTCGTGTAGCGACGTTGTGCGTATGGGTCTACCAACAAAACCACGACTGTAGGACCGATCGGATCTCACTGTTTTGAAAGCTTACGTAACGAGTACAATGTTAAAAATCAATCACGGACCCTCGCGGGGCTCAGCCCGGTCGAGATTGACAGCCTCGTGGAATTTGCCGCTTCGCCATTGGACGATGGACCATTGGACTTCTTTGGAGGACTATGATCGAGTTTCCAAAATATTTTGATCGGTCGAGTAAAAAAAAAAATAATTTCATAATTTTACAATAATTTTATTTTTTTTTTATTTTTACACGCCTATTTTTTTTTCCAAGGATCGGCAGAATGCAGTGCCAGTCGATTGTATTACATTGTGCCAATTTGACTGGGTATGTATTTCTTTTTAACCGTACCTTCCACGTTGTGTCTATTCCGTATGCTGTACGATTTATCGCGCTCTACTAGACGAGTTTATCCGACTGTGGAAAAACAGGTTCCGCAGCGAAGGCATAAAGCTGGAAGAACGCATCTGGCCTAAGACAGTCTTAACGGAGACGCAAAAATGACGCTTTAGCCTTTATGACACGTCCTTACCAGCCTGTCGCGATTTAACGCGCAAGGATGCAGTCGGTAGTGCACGGCGCATTAATCGCCTCGCCGACCGATTACGCACGACTGGTTATTACTTTGTTTACGCGAACATAGACGCGCGACCATCGTCGTCATCGGCGATCGATCACTCGCGTAATAATACGCTTCTTCGAAAGTGACGGCCATAAAGGTTTAATAATAAAATAAATAAAAGTAAGCATATAGAAAACGTGGCGGATAGAAGAATTTTTGAAAAAAAAATTCACAAAAATAATTTATACGAGAATCAAGGAAAAAAGGTTAAATAATAATAACATTACGATCATTTATTACACCGTCTCATGACCCGATGACACCTCAAGGATCGAACGTAATCTTATTCAAGCGTAATCGTATGTGATAGGTGATACCGATCTTCGAGATGATCGATCATCGGTATTAATGGGAAATATGGGGGAAGAAAAAAAGTGGAAAAAATTGTCACGCAAAGAAAATACCTAGTAAAGATCGCTTTTACCGGCCTACGGGTAATATGGTTATCGTAATGGCCCAAGTGCGAAATGGGCATAAACTATGCTAAAGCCAGAGTGCCTGTCGCAACACAAATAGCTCACGGGCAGAATGTAGGTGTGTCTCGATCCGGCTAAGATAACTGCATCGTAAGACGCCAGAGATTATATCGCCGGCGATAAGCCGATAAGATGTTATTATAAATGATAAAGCATTGCAGGAAGCCTCCGAGCAGAGACCGGCGCATTTCGATTAGACCATTCATAAATCGCTTAGCTTTTAACTCCGGGCTACGCGGGTTTCGATCGCTTCGAAGTTTTACTTGGGATCTTCTGCGCTCTCGTTCGATCTACGAATAGGACCTAGAAATAGTATCGAGTCTTGGGAAGACTGAAAATTTGATATTATTTATATAACGGGTGTATAATTTACATTGAGTAATATTGTTATTATTTTTTTTTTATTTATTTTTTTTTTTTTCATATCTCTTCATGGACAGACCATTGCTCGTTATATATGTTCGAGGTATTAACCAGTTTCAATTTTTTCGCAATTTCAGTCTTGGGTTTGATTATTTCGCCAAAATTTATTTTCGTTTACTCACGTGGATTTATCCCATTTACGCACTTGTCTTCGTTGGCTCGATATGGCAAATATATCAGGTTGGTCCATGCGTGCCGAATCTGATATTTAAAAGTCTCGAGTTCAGCGTAGACCGCGCGAAATAGCTAGGCTAAACGCAGGAAAGCATATTCGTCACTTCCGGTAAAACCCGTTTGCCCGAATGGCTTAATTGTTCGTATGCTGTAGGGTAAAGTTGAATTTACGAAATGCGGCAAGATGGGACGACTCGAAGGTACGATTAAGAGAGGTGAAACACATTACAGACATTTCGTACAGTCGTACAGGAATTACATTAGTCAGATGTTAAAAAATAAAAAAAATAAAAAAATAAATCCTTATCGGATGATACGAAAAGTCACTCTGCGATACGAAGGATACACGTATTGACCCGCTTTGATTTTACAGTTAAAAATGTTTTTTTTTTAATCTGCACACAAAGCTACAAAAACACGGTCGAACTTCTTGCCATCACAAAGTGAACCGCCGCGGCGTGCTTTGGGTTTTTTGTTATTCGTCATCCAAATTGGCTCGAAACAACTTTAATTTGCCTATAATTCCTCGATCGTCGGCGAGAATGACGCCGGTGAGTCAACTTCAGGTTTTACTGAAATATTTGTGCGATGAGATGATTGCGGCCGTGTAGTGTATTATATCACAGATGAAATTCAACCGGTTCCTAGGGAATTCACGCGCACTGCCAAAAGCATCCGGAGAAGTGATGCTTTCGTAGTAAGTTTTATTTGGTTCATTCAAATTTCACAAGATGGTCCGCTATTTCACAAGCAATATAGTGCAAGCAATATATATATATAGTAGATAAAGAAGCGAAATAATTTTCAGTGGGAAAAATTTTTTTTAATACATTTCAACCAAGTATCATAATTTGAATGATAATGAATAGCGGATTCCTTTTTTTATATTTTTTTTTTTCCCAACACGAATACACGCGACTTAACGAAAGCAGCAGACAAATTTTAAAAATAACATCCTTACATAATCTACCCACAACGCTTACGCACAGCCATCAAAAATATACGGATGATCCGCGAGATGAATCGGATGCTGTGTATAAGTGAAAACCGCCTAAAAAATTCACTACAATAATTTCAAAGGGACAAATGAAATTATTTACCACCACACGTAAATTTATCTCAATGCGTTATGCACGTGGGATGCAACAACGAAACAATCCGACAGTAATAATCGCGCGATCTGCGCATCGTAAGGTGTTACTCTGTTAGATATACGCTAGATAGTATCTAGATATCTCTGACTACGTCTTAGTCCACCAGCATGTGCACTGTCAGTGCAGTGCGTGAGTAGGTACGTTAGGTTTCCTTTTTTTTTCCGTATACGATACAATCTCAAACATCTCCATGCACGAACGAAGAATCTCAGTCCATGATAATATCCAGCATCCCTGGCCCTTATCTATGCGATCCTTCACGCGAGAAACAGCGAAGACAAGAGGATGCCTCTTAAGACGACCAACCCTCGAAAAAATCATATCACGTACGTACGCGAAAAAAGATTTAAAAGATTGCAGTTAATTATCAAATTGCAAAAAAAAATTCGAAAATTTTATTTTAAAAAATCCAGTTATCAACAGGTCCACCTATAGCGACGTAACGCTGCAGCGACGCAGTTTTGAACAAGTTGCAACGGCTAATTGAGCGATCGTAAGCGACCGCCGACGAAAGAGACAGCTCGGATTGTGCGATAACAGGATAACTGTAAAGTATCAAGTACGGAGTGAAGTAAGCAACGCAAGAAGCAATGACAGTGTACAGGGTGATCGAGCGCGTCAGAAAACTGGAATAACGGATTGGCAGAGGTTATAACGAGAGCAAGGATAAATAATTGTCCTCGGCGACAGAATGGATCGACGTCCTCGTAGAAGATAAAGTTGGTGTGTCTGCTGCCACGGAATATCGAGCGTTAAGATCCGTTATAGAAGTTAATGCCAATTAGCCAGCGAGCCGGGTATTAATTTGTTTTGGTATGTCGCGTCGAGGCTGGTTGGCGCGGGAAATTTTGTCCGTTATGAAAGTTTGAAAAATTCTTCGAAACCGCCGATTACGCAACGAGGCTTTCCCGTCGACGTATTAACGAGGAACGACAAAAGAAATTTCGTATCTGGCAACGTTATACCGTATGACTTTCATTCGTTACGAATACCGACTGTCTGGGTCTCTTTGTATGATTATCTATAGGCTAGTTGCCGTGCACCGGTTCACTGCCAAAATAAACCAACGTAGGCCGCCGCCATTGTGATTTCACAATTTTTCAAGGAATCGCGGTAACCCAATCACGTTACTTTCATTCGTTATTTCGTAACGACGAAGGCAGCTAACGATTTTACACTTACGAGCAGTTCGATGCCGTGCGCGATACATTAGCTTCGTATCCTGAAACAGATCCTGATTGTACGAGGTTCAGAGTTTCTATTGGCAATACTTCGATACGCAAGGACTGAAGGTACCTTCGAGGCGCGTCCACAATAAATTTCATAAACAA